TTGAAAAGATTCTGAGGGGGGGGGGGGTTAATTTGATTTCCCCTTTTTTGCGTACCAAGCCGGGATTTTGATTTTTTTTTCTGAACCCGATGAACCCTGTTTCAACTCTTTTTTTTTCAACCTAATTATTCAGATGCTTTAAAATATAAATTCTGCATTTAACAAAATGTATAAAAACATTTAAAAATTGATCCAAGTTAAATATTTTATATTGTTTTAAGAAAATTATGAAACTATAGAAATCCTAAAATATATAAAGAAAAATTATGCAATGGTTTAATTGTTTTACCTAAAAGGAAGCATGATTATATATAAAAATTCCAATTTGAATTTTTTGTCTAATATAAAATTTGGTAAGGCGATGGTTTAATAGGTTTTCCCGACATGCGCAGGTTTTGCATTTTAAATCATTAATTGAGCCCGTTATTTTAAATTTAAAAATCTGATTTTGTTGGAAATGCATTCCAATAGTGTATAATACCCAAAATTTCCTAATGAACTTTCCAAGAAATTTCAATTTAAAATGCAAAACCTACGGCGCTTGTAGAGATAACTTGTTAAACTCTCTCTTTATCAAAAATTTGAATGGTGTCATTTTATTTATTTTTTTAAGCCATTTTATATAAGGATTCTAGATTGTTAGACATATATTTATTTTGGAAATTGCCTACTTGTAATTTATTTTTCATTTCAAATATTATTGTTATATATGAAAAATGGCATATGCATTAGATTCAATTTTTTATTATGGTAGTTTAATTTTTATACTATTAAATTATGTTAATTATAACAAAAAGTCTCTAGGCTCTATGTAAAAGATTTTTATATTTAATTATAATGTCATTTATAATTTTCTAAAAAAAAATATTTTTTTCTTATGCAAACCCTAATCTGATGCTTAACCTGGTTTCGGGTAGAACTTCTAACCTTTTCCATAGATCGAACCCGATCTAAACTTTTTTTAGGTTCACAAGCCTGGGTGATGGGTTAAAATCGTTATTGGCTTAAGGGGTTTCATCCCTAAAAATAATAGTAATATACAATTGTTTCTATATGAAAATTAAAGTTTGGAAAATAAAGAGACATAATGATAATCGCAATAAAAATAAGATGATGATATATATATAGATCAGGCGCGTATGCAGGAATTTACTGTGGGTAGGGGGGGGGGATTAATTAATTTTTTTATAAAAATTATTCTAGGGGTCATTTAGGAATATCTTAAGTTTTATAAATTTATTAAGACTAGTTACTATAAAATATTGACAATACATTCAAATATAATGATAAAATATCATTATATAATATAAAATAAATGTCTCGAAAAGGAACTTCGTAAAAAGTATATTTTAGGCATTTAAAATTTGAGATATAAATTTAAATTATATATTTTTTAAATAATGCTGGAAAATATAGATGCACAAAAATATTCTTAAGAATTATTGCATGTAAGAGAGACCAAGGGGTTTGTCGGTTCAGCGGATTTTATTTTAAAACTTAGCAAAGATTATAAATTACAATTTTATTCTAAAATAGTATCCTTTAAAATCCATATTTGGAAGAAAATAATTTATATGATAACATTTTGAAATTTGTACAAAATATAAATGCATTTAAACAAAAATTATGTCAAAAGTAAAACTATCTTAAAAAAATAAAATTGTAATCGTTAGGATATAGAGTTTAAAACTAGCCATTTATGCACACCAATTTTAAAAAGATAACATGCTCAGAATGATTTACAATTTTTAAAATATTATTTTTAAATAAATAATTTTCTTTTAAAATAAAAAATTTATAAATTTAAATAATGCAAAAAACAACAAATTTTCAGTTCTTACAATGTTGTTACGGTTAGATTAGGCCGATTTTGAATTAAGATTTTAAGCCAAAATAGAATTACGTAACTCTAGAGATTTCTTTAATATATGTCAAAATCTTTTTAACATTTATAAGAAAATTCTCCAGGTGCGTAATATTTTATGACCAAAATATTGGGTTGATCGTTTTTACAAATCGAGCCGCTTAACAACACGACTTACAATCACAACAGTCTCATACATAGGTTTAAACTTCCCCTCACTTCAATAAAGTCCTATTTTTTTAAAAAGGCATTTTTAGCACTTTTTTTATCTCATATTTTCTTTCCTTCTTTTGAAATAATATTTAAACATTTATTAATTAAAATGTTTGTTCGCAAATTTTAATAAGTTAAATTTATTTTTAAATGTTGTCCATGATTTAAAAAAATATAGTCATATATGCATTACATTAAAATAAAATCGCCCTTAAAGTTTTATATACTATAGAAAAAAATTCAGGACTCGCCATTACTTCGGGATCATTGTATCTCCCGGCCTGCCCTATACACAAAATGGAAAATTTTTAAATGACTCTGCCAAATAGTAAATTGCGATATATTTCATCCGATTTTTTAAAAACGTTTAACTTAATATTTTAGCCAGAAAAATATTGCCTAAGCTTGATTGCCTAATAGATGTCCAAACCTATGTAACAACTATGAGCAAAATCTTCAGGCTAGTGCATTATTTTTCTGGATAAAATACTGAGTTCCCCGTCTTTAAAAATTAGCTCAAATGGAGTGATTTTGTTCACTACTACCAAATAAGGTGATTTTGTAAGATATTAACAAGTATAACAACCTTTCCATATATATATTCTAACAAAAATAAAAGTTTGGCAAAATTTATAGAATTCATTATGAATGGCTAATGATGAAAATTTGTAAAAAAAACCAGTCAATAAATTATATTTAAAAAAAATCACATTTTTTTATATAGTTAAAATATTTGAATTTTTTTTAAAAATATTAATTTAATATTTTTCTTAATGGCAGCTGCGAATAGTCATAAATTATTGCGCTAGAACTGTACCATATGAAATATATTATATTTTACGAATATTTTTTTGAGTTTAATTTAGTTCTTCTTACTTCTTAATATGTATATAACCATAATTTTTTTTTATCTTTTCGAAAAATATTTAGATAAATAAATTTATTAAGTGGAGCTTACCAAAAATCAACCTAACAAATTTTTTTAAATCCATAATACCTTTTTTAAATGGTTAAAAATAAAAAGCATAATTTAAAAATTATAAAACATTTGAAATTAAATCAAGAATTTTACTTTAACATAAATAATAAACGTAAGAATTTCATATGTATATTTCTCCCAGACCAATCTGTGCAATAAACCAAATTATTTATAATGAGGGAGGTGGGGTGGGACAAATTTTTTCAGGAGAAATATAAATGACATGTAAAAGGGGTCACCACCTTATTAATTGAGCTGAGATATCAAGACCAGGCCGATTTTTCAATGCTTTAAAAAAAAACATAAAATGGGATAATTATTTCTTTATAATAATTTTAATATTATTTTATTTAATTTATAAAGCCAAAAAATATATAAATTAAAACATTATTTACATTTAATTAAGGACATATGAAACACTTGGTTATTAAAATATCTCTTGAAATTTGATATGAATATAATTTAAACAAAGTTAAAAATTTAAAAATATTATATAATGATGTATAAGTGATTCAATGTACCCTATTTTTGCAAGATCCACTAGCACAAGCTTTACTAATAATGTTTTAAATAATAAATATCTAAACACCAAAATATTCGTAAAGTTTAATTTTATATTAATATTTTTTTAATTTAGGATAAATTCTAATATTTAAAAATTTTTATACATTCAATTGCTCCATTAATATGGGGGGGGGGCAGAAGGGTTGGGGATGTATTCTCCAAGTAACACATTTTAGTAGGTGGGAAGGGGGGAGGTGATATGTCTCATTGGCCTGGAGTTTAGAGGGATCTGACTAACTCAGGTTGCATATAGAAACATGATATATATATATGCATATTATAGATATGAATCGCTCGGCCCATAATTATTTTTCTACGGTAGAATTAGATATTCCAGACCAGCCTAGCCCATAAAAACTTTTTTTAAGTTGTTGAACCCGAAAATATTTTGTCCAAGTTATCCGGCTTGGTCTAAAAAAAATTCTGTCTGCTCTTCAGGGTAAGCCGAGCCGTCCCAGTCTCTAAAGCTAAACAATTAATTTTTTTTTACATCAGATAATGTATAATTTTTTTTTATGATATAACATTCTGCATAGTTTTATTTTATTTATTTATCAAAAAATGATAATAAAACTACCTAAGAATAAAATTGTAAAAAGATAGTTAAGAGTTGGGGAAAATTTTCTTGAGGCTAAAATGAGCTATTTAAACATCAAATTAATATTTATAGTATGATCAGAAATTATAACTTTAGGATTCCTTGTTAATATTACTTTATAAATAATTTAAAATTTTATAATGCAAAAATAATAGAATTGAAAGTTCGAGCAACATATATGAATACTTAGTCACGAATTCTTGCTAATTGTGAATGCAGGGCCATGTATAGGCTCAAATTTTCCCATATATAGCTCATGTTTTTCCTTGTGCACTTTTTCAGATAAAAGAATTAAGTTGCTAAAAATGTATACGAGTAAACAAGATAATGCCACTCTCACTGAAAATGATCAATGGCTTTTATTTTTTTTCAATTTTCCTTTTATGGCTCTGCATAATCCCGGTCTCCCCTCCATTAAAACAATAATAAATATAAAAAAATTTTCAAACAAAATAAAAGAGATATGGATAGGAAAACTGAGGTAATTCTGATCTAGAGGATGCCATAAATGATAAAATTAAAAAGCAAATATATTTAGAATATTTTATAAAATAGGCAAAGGGTACAATATTAATTATCACTAGAGAAGACTTAATTATAAAATTTTAATTGTAACATGATATTTAGATAGGCTTCTGGCACCGACTTTAGAATATATTCTTAACAATATAGAAAGATACAAATACTTTATCCTAATCAACTATGGCGAAGTATTATATCATATTTATAAATAGCAATGATCATAATATACAAATAAAGTGATAATTGGAATATTGACTTACTTCAATGAGACATCATAATCGGAATGAAGAAGGTCGCTAGCGTCTTGTTTTAAAAATATTTTCTTTTTCAAAATATATTTAGAAAAAAAATCTCTTTTTTTTAAACAGAAAAAATAAAATCCATATCTAAATTATTATTTTTTGAAATTGAAATTATTTTTTAAATATTACAACAAAGAAAAGATTATAATATATTTTACCAAAATTTATGTTAATTGATGAGTGATTTATGATATAAGTTATTATAATAAGGAATTGCAAAAATCAGAGAAATTTTTTTTTTATTTTGGCCAACAAAATCTTTGCTATCAAAAAAGAAATTTATTTTAATAAAGGTTTAATATATATATGATATGTATTTTATTAAATGAATACGCCTTATTTATATATTTAAAAAAAAAATTAAACAAAACCCTTAGAAAAAACACATGTAGGGCTGTGTACTCTAGAGTGACAATTTACTATGTACTAATGATACCTCTGTTTATAATTAACATTTTTAAAAAAAGATTGTCAAGATGGTCTATCAATAATCCTATTAATCTTTATTTAAATTTAATATTCTGTTTTTTTTCAAAATGTTTTCTGTAACATTAACACACAAATATAAAAAAACACAATATCATCTATGATTGTATAATAATTAACTAACACCATAAACCACTGAAAATCTCTTATTGATAATGATATATTATAATAAAATATCAAAATTAATTATTTCATTTGTTTAGTAGCCTCTGTAATTTAAATATTGTTTTTTTTAAATAATTGATTGGGGTATTTAAATATAAATGTAACATAAACAGTAAAAAGTTATTTATTTATTTTTTTAAAAAAAGGATTAATTGACATAAAATATCATACTTAACGCCTCTGACTACCACTTGATTAGACAAATTGTTTGAAAAAATTTAAACAAGAGGTTGTTTTATGTTGTTTGGATTATTAAATTATATTATATTATTTATTAATATATTATTTTACTTAGACATTTGTATTTGTGGATGTACTTCAGATAATACAACAAGCAGCTATAAAGTCTAATATTGTTATTTATTTTCCTACAGAAAAAAAATGTTTTAATTAAAATATAATTTTCAGTAACCCATTTGTCTAGTTGTTTAAATTTTTGTTAGTTATATCTTATATATTTATGTTATTTGAAAACTAATAAAATACTTTTAGTTTTTTTTCCCTGTTGTGAATAGATGAAATTGAATCTAAGATAGGCAGTTAGTAGTGTTGTTAAAAGCCCGTTTCTGGTCGATTTTTAAAAACAGCCCGATTAAGATTATAACCAAAATAATACTTATAAGCTTGGAGATTTTGCTCTTAGATAGAAAAAAGGTTTGGACATCAATGTGCTAAATGAGATTTACATAATATTTTGGCTTAAAATAATAATCGGGCCATTTTTTAAAATCGACCCAAACCGAACTTTTAACAACATTAGCAGTTAGTTATATATTTAAAGCACCATCAATTTTTGTGCACTTGAAAATATATGTTAAAGGATTTTAAAGCCAACACAAATTTACAAATATAAACTCAGAGTCATTATAACATATGGTATATTAATTATTTCTAGTATAATGCTATGACATTAAAGATCAATTAAAAGCCTCAACAAGAATGTATCTAATTTTGTCATAGCCACATTCAATCATGCAAACATAACTGAGGGCAAAAATTGGGCCGATAAAAAGTAATAGGGGTTTCCAAATTTTGTTTCTCGTCTCGTGCATTTAGAAGTCAATTGTATTTTTCAAAAATGTATATGCTTAATATAGCCTAATTCAGCCATTTATTGCATACTTATATTTTATTCTAAATAATTCATTGAATAAATATTACCTAAATCATATTCTAGGTAATCATCAATTTCATTATAAAAATAACGAACCTAGTTTGTTATTTTATGATTTTTTATTTGTAACTTTAGGCAAATTGTGACTTCTTCCTCTAAATTTTTTTAAAATAATCGGTATTTTTTTGGGATCAGATAGGTTAACTCAGATTTTAGTGAGATAAGATTAAATAGATCAGCAGTGAAATCAAACTAAAATAAATGGCCTAAAAATTGGCTTCCCAAACCGTATAAGTTTGCAAAAAATTAGTTAGTCACCATTCCCATTTTAAAAAACTGGGATACCTGTAGAGATTTTCAAGACTCTGAAATTTTAAATCAAAATCTAATTTTTGCGGAAATAATATGTATGGAAATTTATATAAAATTAATATAAACTAGTTTTCACGTATTACAAATCAACTTACGACTCTATCCATCTATCAAGAGAATGTATCAGTAAGGAAAATTTTAACCATAAGAAGAAAAGAAGTCAGGCTGTGTCCTGGTTCGCTTATTACTAAACAGCTGAATCTTTGGAAGAGGCACGTACTTCTATAAAAATTTCACGCGGGACACGATGAAGTGCCCCCAGCCCCCCCTCCTCGACTACATCTCTGCTAAAAATTAAGACAAAATTTTTTTCTTCCTATAATATAAATTTTAATATTTTATATTAAACGTTTTGAATATTTGAAATTGAAAATATCATAAAAATTATAATAAACGAAAAAATAACCAAAAAAAATAAAATATAAAAAAATTAATGATTAAACGAAAAAAAACAAAATATATAAAACGAAAAACATAAAAAAAAACAAAAAATAATACGAAAAATAACAATTACGGCCAAACACTTAAAACAAACCAAAATAGGGTGTCCTAGCTCAAAAGCTTTTAGCCTAGGCTAAACATTATTAGAAAATAAGTCTAACCAGGACTCCGACTCAATGCTTAAAACTTTTTTAGAGTTCTTATATATAGTCTAAAAAATAAAGAAAAAGAATCTTGTAATATAATTCAAATTCTAATATAATAGTTAGTGTTTGCAATAGTCTGGGTCCGGTCCTTTTTCTAAAATGAGACTGGACCGATGGACCGTTAAGTTAGGTAAAACTAGATCATGGGACAGTCGATCCGATCCTATCTAAAAAATGTTTTTGTTAAGGTATAAAAGTTTTATTCTGTATTAAATTTTAATAAAAATGAAATGTTAAATTTGCAATATTTTAATTATATCATCAAATCATTTTTATTACTGCATAATACAAAATATTATTAAACTAAATACCAAATTTATTGAATATAATATAAATCAATTTGCATAATTAATTAGTTTTTGATAAATATATTGTTGATAGATATTTGGTTCTAAAATAAAACTTATTTATATTTAAATATTCTAATTTCATAATTAATTTATTAAAATATTAATTTCAGAATGTTTATATTTTAAAAAAAATGATAAAACACTAATATTAAAAACAGTATATAAAAATATATAAGATTACTATAAATAAAAAAAATATATATTATAAGTAACGGAGGCTCTAAAAAGAGCTTAATTTAATAATGAATATGTACCTAAAAAACAAGTATAATTGTGTTAAAAACTTCAAGTTGAAGTTTTTGTTTAAGAAATATGGATTCACGATTTTCACTTGTTATATTAAAAATTTAAAAATCAAAAAAAAATTTTTCCATGTGTCTTTAGAGATTGAACCATCTTTGAATAATTCATTCTATTTCGCTTTTTTGTTATTTTATCACTAGCTTTGGAAAAGATCCATTTACATGCTACTAATGTAGCCTGTTGTGGGAGACAGTCCATTATTATTTTGGCCAGAATCGGAATTCTATATAGATTCCCTTCCAACCAAATTCTATAAATAGTTATTCTTTTACCCCCAGAAGAGGGTGATTTTATAATTTTATCATCCTCTATAATTTCAATTTCAATTTTCATTTTTAAAAATAAAAATATAATACCAAATAAATTCAATCACACCTAAATTGAATTAGTTGACGAATGAATGAAATAGAAGAATATAAAAAGTAAATGATGAATTATTAAATATAATACATGTTTTACATGTTCATATACATTAATTAAAAAGCAATTCAGAGTATTATCTTTTTAATTGGATTTCGGTCAGACATAATCGGACCACGGGACTTTTCCTCGGACCCAATAGTCTTATGAGACGGAATTTGACCGGACTGGATGATCTGTCCCACCGGTCCACTGCAAACATTAAATGATAGTTAGTATATAACTTTATATTTTAAGGTAAATGAGCTAATAAATTATTGCTTACTTATTATAATTACTTTTTTATTAAATTAAAATTCAATATTTAGCTATTCAGTAAATTAATCCAACTAATTATTTAATTATTTCTTTTTTTTATCAACAATAAATGTTTGGTTAATATAATTATTTTAATCTCGAATTGACAAATTATATAAATCTTATTTAAAAAATGAAGGATAGATTACAACATTAAAAAAATATTATTTTTTTAGCAAGTTTTGCATAATTTTGAAGAAAATCCTAAAAAAAATCAAAAGTGAAAAAAAAACATGTCTAAGTGTTGGATTTAATATACACTTCAAAACTATATAAATAATTTCATTTATATAATACAATCGCACTCATAGAATAATATGAAAAATATAAATTTATTATATAGGTTTTCAAAAAAATAATATTATAATGAGATTATAAGTCTATTATTTGTTTAACGGTTTATAAATTAAAATAAATTTGTCAAGAAGTTGTAGGTTTAAAAATCAAAGTTATAAAATTAACCCGTTTATATATAATAATATAAATATTACATGTATAGATGGTGTGAAAAAAATATAAATTTGAAAGAAAGAAAGAAAGAAAAAAGTTACTGTGAAGGATTTAATTTCTGATATGGCTTTCGGGTAGACGTTGGAGCAGTCCATAGGCAGCAATATGCTGTGTATAATATAGTATCATAATATCAGTGTTGTTAAAATAGCGCGCTACTTTTTTCAGTAGCGGTAGCTTTAGCTGGCTACGTTTTTTAGAAAATAGCGATAGCGGTAACTCGCTACTAATTTAGAAAGTAGCGAAGTAGCATTTTACATAATAAATACATCTAAAAATTATTAAAATATATTTTTTATTAAATCTAAAATTATAATCCTTTTATTTAATTTAATTTTGAAATTGAAATTTATATTAATATATATTATAAATCTAGTTATTAAAAATGTGTGAGATTGTTGAAGATAGTGAAATTTCTTTGAAAA